ATCGCGCATCACTCATCAGATTGTTTTTGAAGATTAAATGAGACCATGTGTGTAATCTGTTTTGTACAACGTTTGGCATGCAATAAGTACTCGACAAATGGTGACTAGTAAAATAATCATTAGTAGTAATAAGAGATGTTGGGACATACCTAGCCCTCAAGAATGACATCAGAGTGGACCACCACATCCTCTCATCACTGCGCCTCAATTTGAGCCTCTGAAGCCCAAGGAGGAGATGATTCTTTCCAAAGAAGGCAATTTCCTCGTTCCCGCAGCATCTGAGTACAATGCACCCCGTTCACCCCCTTAATCAGTCTGGTGAAGCCAACTCCCTGATTTGTACGGTGGCCACTGTTCGCCGTCCTTTGGGCCCAGTCCTTTAGCCTCGATTTTCTTGGCTGCTGGAGGGCAGGGGGCTGAGGACAGAGGTGCGCGGGAGCAGGAAGGTTAAAGAAACCAAAATCAAAACAGTACCGGTTCGGTCCACCTCACTGCGCTGTGAAGGCGCGCGAATGGCACCGAGCACAAGAAAGTCTCTGGAGATTGGCAAAGCGCCACTTGGGAATTAGTAACGACTGGTCGGACTCAGAAGTCAGAGGGCCAGCGGCTCGGGTCGGGATGGGGGGAGAGCCGACGAGGGCAATCCCGCGGGCCTCGGGAGGGATGACAGAGGCCTGGAAAAAGGCCGGGAAAAGGGCCGAAGGGGGCGGAGGCCGGGAAGGGGGCGGCGGCGGCGGCGGGTGCGGCGAGCTCGCGCCTGCGTCGCCCGGGAGCGAGCACGCACGCCCGAGGACGCGCGCGCGGCCTGCAGCTCTTTGGCGCGGAGGTGGGGGACGTGGCGAGGTGAGGTGCGAGGCTCCGCAGAGTGGGCGGGTGCCGGGGCGCGAGCCTCTCCAGTGGGACGTGGGGGGAGCGAGAACGACCGGGGGCGGCGGGCTAAGAGGAGAGGGATGCAAGCGGGACGCCGGGAGAGGCGGCGGGCAGGCGAACGAGGCCACGCCGCGCTGTGGGGGAGGGCGGCGCCGAGCCGGTCTGCATGGCCCCGCCCAGCCCGGCCTGGCTCCGCCCCATGGCTTCTATGACTCGCTCCGCCCTTAGGGCGGTACCTCAAGCTCTGCCTAGGTTTTCTGGTGCCTGCAGTGGGGCGCCCATAGCTCATAACAACTGTGTGTCATGCCGCTAATGGATATTACCCTACTGGCTTTTCACGCATGTCTTCCAAAGTCGCTATTTTAACTCCGTCCTAGAGATAAAATGACTTGTTCATACAACTAAGAAAGCAGCAATAGTTGAATTGTTTAGGAAATCGGTTCGCACCATTACCCTGCGCCACCTGAATCCTGTGCCTCATAGCACCTTCCTCCTTCCAGTAACTTCTTAGAATTTGGCAAATGGTAATTTGGCATCCATCCTATCAGAGATATTTAGTGTTAGAACTGTGGTCTCAGGGAAAAAGATTTTGCTTATTACATACAATACTGTGCTTTATGCCAAGAAGAGTGCTCACAGCTTTATGGTGGTGGTGGCAGTGGTTAGATGCTGTCGAGGTGAGTACAACTTACGGTGCCCGTTTAAACAACAATTCTGAACCCTGTTCCAGTCTCTCACATGATTTTTTTTTAAAATTTTTTTTTATTTTATTATTTTTGTGTGCATATACCGTCAAATCAGATCTGACTGGTACAGGAGGAGATTGTCTCTCCTTTCCCGGCAGAGCGCCTGGTGGATTCGAACCGTGTGCCTCGGGGATTGTAGTTGCAGCTCCTTGCCACTAGGCCACCAGAGCTCCCCAGTCTCTCACATGATAGTCAAGGCCTTTGCTGCAGTCACTAGGTCAGTCCATCTGGTTGAGGGCTTTCCTCACTTTGTTAACCCTCCACCTTTCCAAGCATGGTGTCTGTCCTTCTCCACAGAATAGGCTCTTCTAGAAATATGCCCAAGTATGTGAGAATACCAGAAGAATGTCTATCTGTGCTTCATTGACCATGCAAAGGCTTTTGACTGTATCACAACAAGCTGTGGCTGACTCTGAGAAGAATGGGAATCCCAGAACATTTGATCTGTGCTAATGCAAAACATATACTTGGACCAAGAGGCAGTCGTCAGAATAGAGCAAGGAGACGCTACATGGTTCAAAATCAAGGAGGGGGTCCATCAGGGATGTATTTTGTCTCCATACCGTTTCAATCTGTATACAGAACAGATCATCCGAGACGCTGGGCTGTATGAGGAGGAATGTGGCATTAGGATTGGTGGAAGAGTCATCATCAACCTGCGTTATGCAGATGACACAACCCTGCTTGCTGAAACTGAGGAGGACCTGAAGCGCTTGCTACAGAAGGTCAAGGATTGCAGCCTCCTATGTGGATTGAAGCTCAAAATCAAGAAAATAAAGATTCTCATCACTGGGGCAATTGGCAGCATCAGTGTGGATGGTGAAGAGATAGTTAACTTGGCTCTACAGTCAACACTCTTGGTAACAGCAGCCAGGAAATGAAGAGACCAATTGCATTGGGAAGGTCAGCTGTGAGGGACCTCTCAAGAGCACTGAAGAGCAACGATGTCAGGCTGGAGACGAAGGTGCACATGATCTGGGCTCTAGTCTTCGCAATCATGTGCTATGCGTCTGAGAGTTGCACAGTGAATATGGATGACAGTGAATAGGATGATAGCCTTTGAGCTGTGGTGCTGGAGGAGAGTATTGAATATACCATGGACTGCTAGGAGAATAAACCGGTTTGTTCTGGAGAAGGTGATGCCAAAATGCTCCTTTGAGTCAAGGATTCTGAAGCTTTGTCTGACATACTTTGGGCATGTTGCAAGGAGGAACTGGTCCTTGGAGAAGGACATCATGTTTGGCAGAGTGGATGGCCGGTGCAGAAGAGGAAGACCTTCGATGAGATGGATCGATTCTGTGACTGGAGTGGTGGGAATGAGTGTGTTTGAGATGGCTAGGTTGGCACAGGATAGAACCCTTAGAACTCTTAGAGCTCTTGTACATAAGGTCACTATGAGTCGCAAGCGACTTGATGGCACATAACAACAACAACATGTGAGATGAAGCTTCATCCTCCTTGCTCCCAAGGAACACTCTGGCTGCAGTTTCTCCAAGACTTGTTTGTTCTTTTGGCAGTCCATGGAATATTTAGTACTCCAACACCACAGCTCAGATTCATCCGTTCTTATCTAAGCAGCATAGCAAGTCACGGAAAAGACCATGGCCTGAATCAGGCGCACCTTAGTCCTCAAACTGACATCATTTGCTTCTCAATAATTTGGACAAGATGCTGACAAAAGATATTCCCAGTGCAACTGATAGTACCAACGGTGTTGATTGTGGATCCAAGTAAGATGAAATGGTTGACGGTTTCAGTCTTTTCTCCATCTCTCATGATGTTGCCTGTTGGGCCAATAGTGAAGATTTAGTGTGTTCTGTCCTTTCAGTTAGTAGGTAAACATGTTACCCATTTTTACCACCAGGAGGCTTGGGGGAAAGTTTGATAAATGTTGGCTATTACTGTCAAATGCATAATACCCCTTGCTAAAGTGATTTTTCCTTCAAAGATAATCTTTTCCTAGGACTGTGGCAAAGAGTAGGGATCTCTGGTGGTTTAGTGGTGAGGATTTGTGCAGCCACCACAAAGGTGTGTGATTTAAATCTGCCAGCTGCTCCATGAGAGAACAGTAGGCAGTCTCTTGCTGCATCATTAAGTATATCTGAAACTCTGGGGGTTGGGGTCGCCTATGGGTCGATTCCAGCTAAATGCTACACAACAGTAACATGGGAAAGTGCAAGCCTCTTCCCCACAACCCCCCAAAAAAGAGAAAAGTTCTTTGACAGCCTCTGAGCCTCATGCAATTTACTAATGAATTAACTCTCAAAGTGAAGAATAACAAGATAAAGGAAGTCACTGCTGGGGAAGAGCAAAAGATACAAGTTCTTGTAGAACCAACATTTGTCCATTTCATATGTATTTGTTTAGGTTCTTCTGAGGGCTTGATGTGATGCTTGATACTTTGTTATACACATCATTTCCACTGGGTGTTGTCACTGTTTTAGTTTAACCTGTAAGTAGGAAGCAGAGAAGTTAATGACAAAGAATATGCAAAGAGCCGTGAAAGAGATAAAATGCCAGAGATAAAATGCGGAATGTAGAAATCTAATGTTTGAGTCAGCTAGCTTTCATTTCTCTCTTTAGAGAAGATACTTTGTGTATTATAGGTAGCATTAAATACTTCTGAAATACTAAGTTAGTGAGGAGATAAATATTGCATTAACATTTTTTTGGCTTCCATTAAGATACTCATTCAGATGTTAAACTGTTAGGCCACTCTAGGGAGTTCAGCAGTCATGGACCAAATTCTTTGACTAGTGAATAATGACATTCCAATTCCCTTTTGTCTTGGATGTCTTACATAAGATTCAGATGGGGGTGAGGTTGTGGTTCAGTGATTGGCAACTCCACTAAAACCATCTGAAAAAGGAGAAGGTTGATTTCCCATAGGAAAGAGGGCAAAAGAGAGAAGTGATTTTGAGCTAAAACAGGTCTAGCTTTTACTTTAAATAACATTTACAGAGATACTGATATAGGTTAGGTACTGTGCTACTACTATGATGTATTATTTATATATTTTACTGTGACAGTTAATTCTCACAGTAATTTTGTTATTTTTAAGTGCCATCGAGTTGAGTACAACTCATAGAGACCCTATGAACAACAAGTCTGAACCCTGTCCTATCCTGTGCCATCCTCACAATCTCTGACACATTCGAGCCCATTGATTCAGTCACTGTGTCAATCCACCTGGCTGAGGGCCACAGTAATTCTAGGAGTTAGATATACCTGAATATACAGGAGTGAAAGCTTAAAATTATATGCTTAAAAAAAATTATATGCTTAGTAGATGTTAGACTGGTAGATTTGAGTATGTTGAATCACCTCTCCTTATCATGACCTTTTAAATTTTTTCCTGATCCTTGTGCTTTGTTTATAGGAGCTTATCAAGCTTTGGTGTATGTGTTGGCCAGTTCTGAAATTCTTGAGAGTGTTCTGCATTGAAGAAAATCAAAGCCTCATAGGAATGGACCGTTTGGGTTCCTTTAGCAGTAAGTACAGTGGGGCCAGAGACCATGTAAAACTGAAGTGACACATGATGAAAGCAGAGAAATAAGCACTTTGATGTTAAACAATAAAACCATGTGAGTCTGATCTTGAGGAAATGATACTATCAGATCAGTCAATACTTACCTTTTGTTGTTGTTGTTATGTGCCCTCAAGTCAACTATGACTCATATTGACCTTAAGCATTATAGCTCTGAATCCTGAACCAGTCTCACTATCTGACACACCAGCCTTTTTTACCCCAGATATTGTGTCAGTCCATCTCATCAGAATCTTCCTCTGCTCCTTCTCTGAAGTCTGGTCCTTGCTGGCTACATGCCCAAAGTAAGTGAAACAGCACTTCAAAATCCTTGCCTCCAAAGAGCAGCTTTGTTTCCCCCTTTGCAGGACAGACTTGTGAGTTTTCTTGGCAGTCCATGGTATGTGCAGTACTCTTCTCCAGCACCACAAGTCAAAGGCATCAATAATTCTTCTGTCATCCTCGGTTATTGTTTAGCTCTCTGATGCATAGCAAGTAATTGCAAAGACCATTGCCTAGATCTGGTGCACCTTCATCTCTAGACTGACATCCTTGCTCTTTAGCTCTCTGGAGAGTTTCTTTTTTTTTTTTTTTTTTTAAACTTTCTTTTTTTTTTTTTCTATAATTATATTTTATTAATTTTCATAAACATTTACAGAGATTTTGGGCTTCCACTCATTCATTGTTGCACTATTCTCTCTACCCTCCTCCCAGTTTGTTCTTGTCCAAATGCCACAGTGCTTGTCAAAGCCAGTTCTGATTAATCTTCTTTGTCAGTGTATCCTTTGCCATTCCCTATCACTCCTCCCTGAGAGAGACTTCACCCTGAGTCATAAGGAAAAGGGGACAGCGTATTCTCTTAGCTACTTCCTGCTGAAAAGGGACGCTGTGGGTTTCAGGGTGAAGATCTTCTCTCACTACTCTAAAGGGCCCCTTTGGCAGTAGGAAACACATAGACTATTATGGAGATTGATTTTGGAATTCAGATGCACTCTTATTGATTGTCTGGAGAGTTTCTTGACAGCAGATTTTCCTAATGCAATTCATCTTCTGATGTCCTAACTGCTGGTGCCAAGAGTGTTGATTGTGGAACCAAGCAAACTGAAATTATTAACAATCTCTTTTCCGTCTATCATGATGCCCTATGCACAATAGAGCACTTACCCCGCTAAATACATGACATAGATTATACCATTTTGGCTCATATCCTAACACTAAGAACAAGTTGTGTCATCTTTCTTTTCTTTTTAAATTTTTATTTTATGTTCATCTGCTTACAGAGTTTTTATACATTGTATTTCATATTTCTCTTCATTAACAGTATGTTTCATACAGTCATTCTGATTCATTATATTTAAAAAAATTGATCAACATTGAACTATGCCCACCATTGCCATGTCTTTCTAGATCCCCGCTGGTGCCACTATTGTAAAACAGGACTGACATCAGGGTTGTGGGGAGACTGAGAAAGATGGGTTCAATAATGTATACTCCATTGAAACAGATGAGGGAAAAAACTGTTTAAAAAGGGATATGTTATTAGGTATTTCGTCATGACAAGAGTCCAGAGCAAAGGCTGCATAGTGGAGTGGACCTGGAGGGAGGGATTGTAAAACAGTGAAAGAATTTTTCTTTTACTTTTCCAAGAGGGTAGTGTACTGGGGGGAGGGTTGGGAGGGTAGAAAAATGCAACAATGAATGAATGGAAATCCAAAGTCTCTGTAAATTTTCATTGAAATTAGTAATAAAAAATATTTTTTAAAAAAAGAAGAAATCTAATGGCAAAAACAATTAAATATTAGTACTGCCAAAAAACTCCCCAAAACTAGTAGTGTGTTTTCAGATGCCTTGATAAGAAATAATACCACTAATAGGATAAAGAAAATGCCTCTCTCCCTCTTTGTAAATAGGACGTGTCTAAAGGTAAATGGCACTATAATAATTTTAAAAAGTCCACAGAGAATTATGATGCACATAATAAAATACATTGAGACAAGTCCAACTATGAAAACAAAAATGGGCTATTTGCATTTTGTTATTTGACAAAATTGAAAATCCCTATTAGATTTCTAATAGAATCCTAAGAAGGGAGCTCTGGTGGCCTAGTGGCAAGGAAATGCACTGCAATCCCAGAGGCACACGGTTCGCGGCCCCCAGCTGCTCCACAGGAGAGGGATGGGCAGTCTCCTTCTGTGCGATTAATTGCCTCTGAAAACCTGCAGGAAGGTCAGCTATGGGTTGTTTCTGACTCGATGGTACACAACAATAACAACATATAAGAATCAGGTTGTTGGGGTTTCGTACGTAGCAGAGCAGCTCCCTCGCTGCGATCTATTGAAAGTCAGCCCTCGACACAAGGGTAAAAATAAAAGAATCAGAAAGGTAATATTTGGATTTTGTTTCTTTTAAAATTTTTAAAAAATTTCCTTTCATTCATTGTTGCACGCTTTCATCCCTGCCCACCCTTCCCTCCCAGTTCACTTTTCTCTTTGACAAGTGAAAAAAAATTTTTTTTTTTTCATTGTTACACAGTTCCCTCCCCTCCAGTCCACTCTAATATGCAGGTTTCATTCTGGACTCTTGTCATGACAATAATATATTCCTCCTAAACAGGACTCTCCCTCATCTGTTATAATGAAGTATATATTAATTTATCCCCTCTTTGTTTCCCCCCAACTCCAATGTCAGTCCCACTTTACAACAGTGGCACTGTGCAGTATTTGCCCTTTTGTGACTAAGATATTTCACTCAGCATGACCTCCAGGGTCACCCATTTTGTATATTTCATGAGTTCCTTGTTTTTCAATGCAGCATAGTATTCCGTTGTGTGAATATACCACAGCTTCTCTATCTGTTCATTTGTTGATGGGCACTTAGGTTGTTTCCAACTCTTTGCTATTGTAAACAAAGCCACAGTAAACATCGGTGAGCATATATCTGCTTGAGTTAACTGACCAAAACTACCTTCTTCAGCAATTTCTAAAGACCTCTCATTTACTCTCCAGGAGCTCTGGTAGCTGTGAGTATTCGGGAGGTAGGTGCACGGCTAACCTAAAGTTCAAGCCTCTGGTGGTTCTAATCCACCAGCAGCTCCTCAGAAGAAAGGTGGGAAATCTCTGTCCTTCATGCACTTACAGCTTGGACATCCAGTGGAGAGTCAGTTATGAATTGGTTCCTACTCAATGGTAATTAGTTTTAATTTCCTGCTGGGAGGTCCTTGGGTGGCACAAATAGTCAAGATTGAAAAGAGCTCTGATAAGCCTAGTCGGGGAGTTACGCTGCCAACTGAAAGGTGAGGAGTTTGACTCCACCACCTGTTCCAAGGGAGAAAGGTAGGCTGAAAGTCTCCTGTGCAATTTAGAGCCTCTAAAAACTTCCTGGACACTCAGTTACAAGTCATTTCTGACTTAACAGCAGTGAGGAGGACTGGTTGAAAAATAGGGATTTGAACCATTCCACACTGCATCTCTTAGCAGACAGGCCTGATGATCTGTTTCCAAAAGGTTAAAACCTTGAAAACACTGTAGAACAGTCTCTACAGATAGAGGGTTGCTGTGAGTTAAAATCAGTTTGACAGCAACTAACAATTTCTTCTCAAGGTGTAAATGGTTTGAGATTGGTTGTTAATGTAAGCATTTTGGGTTTGAACCTACCCTTGAAAGGTTCCTTGGAAGAAGGCCAAGTATGCTACTTCCGTAAAGATTATAGTCAACAAAACCCTATCGACCACATCTGCTTACCTTTTCTTTCTTTCTTTCTTTCTTTCTTTCTTTTTTTTTTGTGTACACCAAGGAATTAACAGAAAACAATAATTTGATGAGTTCTGTTCACAGACGGCGACCACCCTTCCTGCAGGTGCTGTTGGAAGGGTAGGGGTGACATCCTCAATCCATCCAATCTTCATTCCTGAACGGGCAAGGGCTCTGAGGGCAGATAGGGCCCCAGGTCCAGGGGTCTTAGTTCGATTTCCTCCTATAGCGCAGTTTAATGTGTAAAGCACGGATGCCCAGCTTCTTGCACCTCTGTGCCACATCCTGGGCAGTTAACAAGACAGCATATGGTGCGGATTCATCTCGGTCAGCCTTCCCTTTCATACCACCAGTCACATGGCAGATGGTTTCCTTCCCAGAGAGATTGGTGACATGAATGAAAAGTGTCATTGAAGGATGCAAAAATGTGGTGGCAGACAGCAAAGATATTCTTTCCTTCAGCCACCTGAGGTCCAAGGCTAATGACCTGTTCTTCCTTCTTTTCCTTTCCTTCACCAGGTGCCATGTCTGCGCTTTGTCTCCACACTCTGCCACCAGAAAGCCAGATCTGCTTACCTTTTAACACATGGAGTTGCTTGAGTCAGGGCTGCCTGGCATCTAACAACACTCCCATTACGGAATATTTATATACACTTAGGACAGAGTGGGGACTTGAGGTGCATTAGTTCAACAAACTAATTTTACATCATATTGAGAAAGAACCTAAATAAATAGTCCCGGTGCTAGGAGTTCAAAGCAAAACACCCATATACCTACCCCCCTCATTTTTAAAAATTTTTAAAACTTTGGAAATAATTTCAAATTTAAAAAGAAAAACAAAATATATCCATATACCTTTTACCATCCTTTTACCATATTTGTTTGAATGGGTTTTTTTTTCCTCTTTATTTATTAAATTTTCCTTCACTATTCCTCCTTTCTCTTCTCATTTGCTTTAATATGTGTGTCATCTATCAGTCTATGGCTGTAGTTAGACAAGTAGATTTAGCGAAATAAGCTTACAAACACATTGAGGGTTTTTTCCTGAGCCAGTTGCAGGAAAGTAACATATAACTTTTACCTCAAATGTTCTTCACTATTTAAGAATAGAGGTGTTATATTACATAACCTTAAGAAACCTCGGTGGTATAGTATGTTAAGTCAGCAGTTTGAATCTACTAGTTGCTGAGAAGGAGAAAGATGGACAGTGTTTTCC